CCCAGGGTCTTTCCGCATGGAGTTTTCATGTTCTCCCTGAGCATGCTTTGGTTCTCTCTGGTTACTCCGGCTTCCTCCCACAGTCCAAAAACATGACTGTTAGGTTAATTGGCTTCTCTAGATTCTCCTTAGGTGTGAGTGTGTGTGTGAATGCTTGTTTGTCTCTTTGTTTGCCCTGGGATAGACTGGCGACCCGTCCAGGGTGGACCCCTCATATTGACAGCTGGACAGAGGCACCAGCATCCTAGCAAACCCCCAGCAGGGATAAGCGTGACAGAAAATGGATGGATGGATATTTTACCCCTAACTTTAACCTTAAACATAAGCCTTGGATCCTAAATATAATAGAGTTTGCTGCCCAGTTGATATGTGTTATATAAGAGTTATAAATAAGACAGACAGCCTGGATACACATGGTGAACATCTGACTAACAGATTGTAGAATGCTTACCCCAAACATTTTAAAAGTGTTTAGCCGATCTGTGATCTTCGTGAGAGCAAACTGGTTCATCACATGCCTCCCCTGTGCAGAAAGTTAATGGTCTTTGCTAAACTGAACCATTGTCAGACCTAATGGAGAGATTGGGGTTTTACACAAAGACAATTCAATAAGACCCTCTCTCTGAACTAAAGCCTATGTCATCACCACGTCATCAAATCAACCTAAAAGCCCAAAAGCCTGTTGAAATAATGCAGGAAAAAAACAAGAGACACAAAATCAGGATCAACTGACCTTTTAAAGTGAGATTGCAAGGACCGGGACTGTTAGTCTTTTTTTTTTGTCCATTCAAGGGGTTTAAAATATGTATTTATTTTTTTCACCAGCTAAATAGATGAGCATGTCTGGATTAGAGAATGTTGAAGTACAGGGATTATCAGTCCAATTTATTAGAGTGTATCTAAGAAAATGAGTCAAAGTGGAAAAAAAAAAACTGTTGAAACTTATGTCCAATTTAATTTTGATAAAGAGCTTAATGCCTTCATCTGCCAAATAAAATCAATTTGATCTAAATGGTGCATTACTTCAAGTATAGTATCAACTACATCATTTATAAGACTTTAAACACTATAGTATTTAGAACCAAGGTGTACTGTTTAGTTTTTTAAAATAATTTATTAATAACCTTTGTACATGGTCTGCATTATAGAGCCAATAAATTACAAACCAATCTGTCAGAGATGAATCCTTGTTTCCTGCAGATGCAGCAACACGTCACCCATGAGGCTCCCGTGCTGAAGCAAGCTTTTTGTTTCATCCCTGAACCTAATCTGAACTCTTTCATGACAGCAGCAAACTAATCATCCCCTCCAATTAACAGCTCACTTTTAATACAGATGCATTATTCCTTCTTATTTTCTATTTAATTGATGGCTTCTCCAACTCATATTTCTTAATACAACTATCCATATCTGAGTGAAGATTTTCACTGTAAATTGGCAGTTGTAGTCTGAGTGTTCCAAAAAAAGAAGTGTTAAAATGCAAAACAACCAAAAATGCAGGGTTAAAGTCTTCTCCATAAAAAACTATAATCATTTGTTTCTATTTAAAGTAATAAAAGGTATTAACCTGAACCAAATCTTTCAAAAACTATTCTTATACGTGTTTCTCATTGTTTGGGGCTTTAGTGTTTCACATACCAGAAGGTACCAGCTGACAGTGCTGCTGCTTGATGCCCCCTGCTGGTCTGGAGGCAACAAGGAAAAACATTAACAGCTTGACGTTCTGAAAGCAAATTAATTTTTTTATACTGCATGTGTTCGAATTGCATGCACACAAAATCATTCCTAACAGAACAAAGATCAGCCTTTTACTGATCGCTACTAGTGTATGCAGGACTAAACCTTGACATTATAGCTGTAATGAAAAACTAGACTGTAGATCTTTTGATACATAAAGATGACAACAGCTAAAAAACTGGTCAGATTTAATTCCGACTGCCCTCTCTGAACATGCATATCTTGCATTAAGTACCCTGATCTCAAAAAGCTGTTTCCTGATGGGGGGGTCCTCTAACCAAATTCTGACTAGCCAAAGATGAATTGACTCTACAATAGGGTAATTTGACAGGAATTTTTGATATGTTTGCAAACCTTCAAAACCACCCAAAATCAGGATTCTTGATAAAATAGAAGGAAAGGAAATGACAACAATTTTACTAAAATTTTAAAACATTTCAAAGTATCTGTAGAAACCTGATATGGATTTTTTGTTTCAGGTAACAGGTTGTATGTTGTAAATGTTTTGCAAGCAAAAGTACCGTATTTTCGCGACTATAAGGCGCATATAAACGTCTTTTTTTTCCCTCAAAATGTGCGGCGCGCCCTATAGTGCGGTGCGCCCTATGTGTGTTACTGCGGACGTTGTTGAGACCACCATGAGAATCTTAAAGGGGGAAGTGAGGGGGTGGATTGTGTATAAAAGAACAGCTATGTGCTTTATGCAGAACTCCTCATCTCCTCATTGAGGAGATGATGAAAGAGTGGCTGAGGCAGGTGTATGTAAGGAGACCAGGTGTTTTTTTCCACGCATCACCATCGCTGTTAATCTGTGACTCCATGCGGGCCCATCTCACAGCCAATGTGAAAAACATAGTGAAACAAATGAACGCTGTGCTTGCTGTTATTCCGGGAGGTCTGACAAAGGAACTTCAACCGCTCGAAATCGGTGTGAACCGGCCGTTCAAAGTAATGCTACCTTCACACCGGACGCAGCAAGAACAGCAAAATCGCGTCTCCTGCTTCATTTTTGCTGTTGTACTAGTTAGTTCTGACGTGCGGCTGAAGCAGCTTTGCTGCTCTGGTGCAAAAGTGTGTCTGACACGCGTTGGGCGGAGCTACTCTATCCTTTCTTTGCCTTGCAGCTATATTTGCTGTGATCAGTGGGAATAAAGTAGTTTTAATATGTTTTTAAGTGAGAAAGTCGACCTGAAAACTTAATCATCCAGATTACAATCCCATCTTCCAATATTCTTTCTGTCAGAGCTGCTCAGACCCCCACATACCAGCGGTGCACTGTCAGTAGGAATCCCATTCAACAGCAGTCTCTGGCCGGGTCGCCTCCTCGCGGTTCACCGCGGCGGCTGGTAGGTGTTTTTCATCTAAATTCTGCCGGCAGATTTCTGCATTTTAAGTTAATTTATGCGTCAATAAACTGTTTCAGAGGAGTGATCACAGCACTCTGTGTCATCAGCGATGTGTCTGTCTCATGGCCAGCTCCAAGGTTTGATTAATACTTTGTAATAAATACATGAATAAAACACAAACATACTCAGTTTTGCTCCCACTCTACGTTTAAATACGCAGTAGAGGTATTTAAACGTAGTAGAGGATATGTACCGGTATATAAAACCCGCGCCCTATAATCCGGTGCGCCTTATGTGTGAGTTAAATACAGTAATGGCACACATAACTGAGACTGCGTCTTTTAGTAAGGTGCGCCTTATGATCGTGAAAATATGGGTAGGTTTTTATGTGTGTGCTAATGTTTATCAGCCTTTTTCCTTGTTTTGGGCTCGTTGGTTTCATTATTTTTGACCTATTTTACAATAAGACATCACTTTACACACTACATACTCAATTAAATTTGACTGAATAAAGAGAGTTTAGAAATAGAAATGAGTAAAACATGAGTGATAAAATAAAGTAAAAAAAAAAAGAAGCAGAGTTTAACAAAGCAAGATTTTTAACCTATCAAACCAACCTTCCTTGTACAGGTATCAAAGAGGAATTAGAATAAAAGTCTCTAATCTAATCAGTTAAAAAACAAAAAAAAAATCCTAGAGATGTGGACCTAGTATACATATAGATAATATTGCTTTTACACTGAAAAATATGAAATATTTATCTAAAATGTATCCAAAACAATAGAAACAATTTACATTTTTTTCTTTTTTTTATGAAACCACATATTTTTACCCACAATCTAGTAAACTAGACACCTCTTACCCCTTTGGCACAATAATCATATTAATAGCAAATATTATAATATTGTTCAAATACAAGACATCTGAATAGGATTTGTCACTCACACACTCAGCGTAGGAACACAGTTTCTCTAGTCGTAACACATATTTGTATATGTAAATAAATTATCTTTCATCTTTAAACAAAACCGATCTGTCTTTGCATGCCCTTGTTATATACAGGATCACTTTGTCTGAGTTTGTTCTAGCCGGCTACGGAAAAGCGCAAATGCTAAGCAAACATCAGACTGCTTCTGCATCCTTTACAGCTCGTGAATGCACATGGTGTACAAAATATATGGAGATGGTGGTGAACAGCATGTCACAGGTAATTTAGAGCATTCATTTTGTGTTTTGATAATAGCTTTGTGATTTTTTTTTAAATAGACTCATATCTGTTGGGGTTAGCAGATTTAAAATCAGAAAAAAAAAATCCATGTTTTGTGCATTTGGACCTCTAGACAGCCAGCATTGTTTGTTTTTTTTTCTTATGTTGATGCTGATACAAGCAAAGGCCTCCACTCCTCAGAGGGATCTTACGGAATGCATTCATCTGCACATTTAGTCTCCCTCTGCGATCCAGAAAGCAAACATTGGCACATATAAATACATTCGATTTAAAGGCATACCCAATTTTCTACAATGCCAAACATCTGTTTAGACATCCACAAAAACATGTCCTAATATGAGACAGTTAAACGCTCCAGGAAGTATGACACAGAACCAGGGATGAGCTGAAAACAACTGACATGAAATCTCAATCTAACCAATTTGCTTTCTTGCTGAGAGTGAGCTGAGAATAATCGCTCTAATGCTTGTCAACATAATCAGTTTTCCAGAATCCAGGTTGCACAGGAACAGGCCAAAACGAGCTAAGAATTTTGCAACTTAATACAAAGTTTTAAGACACATGAAGATGCTGTGATCTTTTAATAATAATAACTAAACTTCATTGATCTCACGTTGGAGACATTTACCTTTGCATTTAACCCATCCCTTTGGGGAGCAGCGGGCTGCCATTGTGAGGTGCCTGGGAAGAGTGTGGGGTTAAGGGTCTTGCTCAGAGACCCAAAGTGGAGGCTGTGGGGATTGAACTGGAAACTTGCTAACTTCTCAGAGCACAAGTGCACTGTTCTAACCACTGGGCCACCACTCCCCATCTATATACCTAATAACCACATGAGTGGTACTGATTGTTACCTAAAAATACGTGAAGGCAAAAAACATATATAAGAAAACATTTCAACCAATGTCCTGATATATTACATTTAAACTGATTGGCATTACTATGAATATCTATATATAAACAGGAGTAAGTGCATTTAATTAAATGAAGTGTGGGACATAAAACCTTATGAAAACAATCCGTAAAGTTGGAAATCTGAAACTATGTTGACAAGTATCTGTTTCTGGGTAAATCATTTGTGTTTGTGCATATAAATGGAGACAAAGTTTATTATTTATTCTCCAACTTGGTAATATCCCATGGCTCCAATGTGACCTTTTCTTTATCGCACTCTCAGCAAGACAGCATTTTTTTATCCTAAAGTGGAGACGCATTTATAATGGTTTTAGATTATTTTCAAGTCAGTGTTTTTTTGTCCCCTTGTTGTCAACTTTTGGCCACGCTGGATGTCAGTCATTTCTTTCTGCTTCATATTGGTTGTGATCAAAGGAATGTGCCAACATTTTAATCTCTAAACCAAAACAAATTCAACAAATTTTATGTAATTTAAAAAATGTCCAACAAACAACCTTTTAGAAGATTCTATTAATTTTTGTCCAACTAAGATTTCAACCGACTTTCCCTCCAACTAATCGATTTTAAAGCAGTGCCTTAGATGGAACAGGTCATTGTCACCCGCTGACTAATTGTATCAGGAAAATATCATGACTGGGATCCAGCTAAGCCTTACAGATTGCACTTCTGAATGCCACAGGTCAGCAGAAAAGCTTTGAGGTCAAATTCCTCCAAATGATCCACCTGAGTGAGAGCTTAATACTGCAAATGTTCATGGTAAAAACAACACCTAGTCTCGTCACTTCTCCCGTGTTCTCCCTCCATCTCTAGTTACAGGCTTAGAGCTACAAAAGATTTGGTCCCAACTGCCTCAGGAGTAATGTAGAAAATATACATTCAGACTTACTGGAAGAGTAGAAAACATGAGAACCATAAACTGTCTGTGATGAGAGCTGAGCAAAAAAAAAAATGCTTTATGAAATAGGTTTTCTAGATCAACAAACTGTTTAGTATATTCTGGCAATGCACTTTCATCAGACACTTGGAGTTTATCACTATAGAGAATCTATAATTCTTCTATAAATCCACTGTTATTTCTCACACACTAGTTTTTAATTGTGTGCTCATACTTCTTTGATTTGTTTGAGCAACTCCATACTGTGTGTGCCCTTTGTAGCTTGTCCATTTGTGGTTCTTACTTTGCACTCTCTGCTGCCATTTTCCCATCACTTTTCCCTCTCTAAGATACAGCAGAAACACACTCAGGCCCACTGAAGCACACACACAGAATCTGTAATTAGTTGTCAGCCGAGATACCTTAAGGCCACAAGCCCAATCTAAATGACGGAGAACCTCCAAGAAGGATTTCTGCGGCTGCCCAAACACCTCGGTGTCAGAATGGCCGGAACAACACGCGAGAAAATACGACACCCTGCAGGCCTCTTGTACTCACATCTCACTGTAAACATGTAAACGCAATCACAGCTTGGTGTCTTCACCAACCACGACTCCCTGACGACGTCTCCTCTGGTTTTTACTCCAATCGGTGATGAATGGATTCTAGTCTGTCCATCCTGTTTGCTCTATATTCTCCAGCTCATCACGTCTACCTCACAGTGAGGAGGAACTCTGACTGTAGTTTCTGAGAGTCAGGCGGGTGTACCTGGGAGAAGGGGGAGAGGGAGGCGGGTGATTGGGGACAGGAGGAACAAAGAGACCTGTCTCTGAGATCTGGGAGCTACTGCTAGAACCCAGAGAGTCACGGAAGGGGGAAGGAGGTGTCAACGCAATGAGCTCCTCTTCCAGCTCAGACCTTCTGAGCGGGGAGTCGGGGAGATGGGAGACCAGGCTTCCTCTTATTGGGGAAATAGAGGGGGATGAGTGGGGATGAGGAGGCGGCAGGGGATAAGGAGAGCGAGGGATGGAGTGAACTGGACAGGGGGCCCGGGTGCCCAGACTGGATTCAATAGGGGGAAGGGGCTGAACGTCAGCGTATGTAGTGAGAGTCGGGGGCATCGGGATCTCGCGGGGTAGCAGGTAGGGATCAGGGGGATGAGCAGCAGGGGGAGCGTGTTTTTGTGTGTGGGTTGGAGATGGGTAGAGCATCATGCTGTTGAGCTCAGTAATATTAGCAGTGAAGCGGTTCACAACACAGCTAATCTGATCCATCAGATTGCTCTGGGGCTGTGACGGGCGGTCGTCCAGAGCAACTAGACGCCCGTCACTCCCAGCCGCCCCAGAGCCGCTGCTGGGAGGCCCGCCACTGCTGCTGCTGCCGCCGCTGCACACACTGCTGGAATACTTGGAAATGCAGGCCACCTGGGATTCCTCCCCTAAACTGGCTGCTATCCTCTGGCTCACGGTGCTGATGGGTGATGGCGTCTGCGGCTGGTAGGTGATTGAGTAGTGCTCCTCTGCTTCTGAGAGCTCGTAGAGGGTCTTGTCTGTCCCATTGTCAGGATGAGTCGGCAAAGAGGACATAGAGGAGAGGGAGGGCAGAGGTACATGCGGGGGCAAGTCAGATCCTCCACAGTAACGCTCCTCAGAGGTTTTGGAGAAGGGCTTAATGACTGCTGTCTGATTGTTCTCCTTCTTCTTGATGTGGAAGGACAGCCGCTGCCACAGGTGGTTGCCTCGTGAGCTGCTGCGCTCTGTCTGCGCCCAAGACACAGATTTACCATTGGAGCTGCAGAAAATGAGAAAACGGAATAAAGGGAAGAGGAAGAAGTGCTTAGAGCTTTAAGATAGAGAAGCAAATTAAATATTTTGTCCATTAGCCATCCCAGTCTATTTACTAGTGACTTAAGTAGTGACAGATAACAAATAAAAAAAAATAATTCATTTGTAGATTTGAATCAACCATTGACGTTAGATTGATTTCATATGTAGAGAAATCTCATTATTTTGAATTGCTCTCCTTAAAAACGTATGTTTTTCTGTACTTATTTGCATTTATCAGGATTTACATGTTGGTCAAAATATATATACATATAATCATCAACTACATCAATGTCCTATTATTAATTTCTGGTTATTATTAATTGTGACAAATTAAGATTACAGACCTGGTTAAAAGTTACGCATACAGCCCAAGATACACAAATACACACATCCTGCTAAAACTTAAAAGAAGCCCATTTTTTGAAACCATCATGGAGCTACTGTAATTCTTTGACTCCTCTAGATAAACTTTAATTAAATAGTTGATTTTCATAGACAGGCTCTGCTTTTAGGCAGAGCTTATACATTTTAAACAGGACTGACCTATTCCAGAAGCTCTAGTGTATGTGATGTATCATTACAAAATCTTTTTATTTGTTCGGGAACCTTGTCTCTTTGGAACAATCAACTCTAACGAAGTTTCCCTCCTACTGACTCAAACTATCATTCTAAGATTGAAGGACTTGTTTACATTAATTAGGAGCAACCCAGGAAGCCCAACCCTCAGGCTAAACATTAACTCTGAAATAAAGGGGCATCTGAGTCGCTGCAAACAGTAAAACAGGATTTACATCACCTCATACTGAGAGCAAAGAAAGAAGCTCCAAAATAAACAACTTTATTAAACAAATTGAAATGAGAAAGACATTTGCAGCTGCCCACACAAAACATATAAATTGCATTTGCAGAAAACTTCTAATGGACAGACCAGGCACCAATTTGGCCTTTTAGCCACAACAACAACCAGAATATTTAGAGGAGTTGAAGACTGGGTCCTCAGATCTGATAACAATATGCCAACTGTCATGCATGGTGGTAGAAGCATCATGCTGTGAGACTAATTGGCTTTTAATAGTGTTTCTCAGAAAATTAGCCTGGCCTGCAAATTTGGTTGCCTAATGAAACGTGAATAATATATTCTGTAGCGTAAAGAAGTCTGTTATGTAAAGCCCACACAACCAACTGCAATGCTTTTCAAATTACAGGACACTTACAAAACTCGAAAAGTACTGGGAGAGCGCATACCTCTGCCAAGCAGCAAATTTTGCCCAGTATTGTGACTAACAGCTAGAGCTAAAACTCAGATGATCTGGATCATTACTAAATTTGAATTATTGTTCCTTGGCATGAGGAACAATAATTTAACTTTTACTTAAAATTCCTTCATAAGGCAGGCGGTGCCAAAGGACACGCGTGTGCAGCTTCTGGTATTTGTTCTGCTCTTACCTTCATTCATTCTGCTTTCTTGTTTGGAGAGCAGATCGTGACTTCAAGTGGGGAACGGCTCACCTTTCCTGTGTTTTTTTTCTTCAGTATAATCCTTCTGGACTTTTGTGAGTCTGATGCTGAAGCTGTTAATAATCACTGCTGCCCTTCTCTGGTTTAGGGGGAACTTCTTGTTCCGCCAAATAATGTTAAAGAATCCTTTAAAATTTCCTGCATCCAGATTATGATGTGCATCATCATCAAACTTTAAGAGGACCAAGGTGCAAGTGTCATTAAAATCTGTTCATAACTTTTCAGGTTATCCTGTACACAAATAGACGGACAAACAAACACACAAATTCAATTAAAACATAACCTCCTTGGCGCATTTAAAAATAGAAAAAAAGGACATCTAAGTGATCTCAAATCAACGGTTAGGGGTTGAAATTTGGACAGAAAAAAATTATATATTTACATATAAATTAAGATGTGCTTTTTGAAAAAAAAAATCCAAGCTGAAGAAAAAAAAACCTTCAATTATTAAAAAAAACAAAAATTATTTGTTTCACTATTGCACCATTGGTCAGTTCTCATAGCTGTTATATCGGTATTGAGAGAAATGAAAAAGTTGTATTGGTTGTTCCATTTAATGAGTGGCTACTTTTTTATAAACAAAACTACGCCAGTGTAAACCAATTAAACTAGCTTTTGCCAGATCATGTTTCTCCCTTCCAGATCTCCAGGTACCGGTATATTTTCAGTTGTGTCTGTTTCACTGGAGGCAGATATATCTGTCCTTCGCTGCCCCTCTGTCTTTTTGTCAGGTTAATTAGCGCAATTCATCTATAAAGGAACTCCTGATTAAACCCCATGACTGGAAGGAGGCCTTAAATACCCTTTGAAATAACCTGTAGAACCTTTTAGAGATACATGCTGCATACTAAACCACAGTTTAATCAATCTTCTAAAGCATCTGTCATTTTAAGCTCAGAGGTTGATTTGACTGTCTGGTGAAAGTAAACCAGCCTCTTCTCAGCTGTTCAAACATAGAAATTTTCTTATCCTTCCAGTCTGCTGGATTTTTGTTTCTGCCTGTGTTTGTTCAGCCTGCTCTGACAATGACAGCATCTCAAACACAACACTTTCCAGCCCCTCACCGAGGAGACAGACAGCCCTGCCAATTACCACCACCCACAGAGGACGATAGCACCAAAAGAGACGTGTAGGGGGAAGGAGGAAAGAGAGGAGCAGAGGTTTTTTTTTTAAAGGAGGCTGATTGAGATCTTGCTTGCCAAGCAGGGCGAGCTGAAGCAACCTGCTGACAAATGAAAATGTATTCCAGTCTTTTCTCTGAGACGTGTGGCGATACGTCACTCCATTTTGAATTTTTGATTGGTTCCCAGTAACTGTGGATAGCCTCAAGAGTGTAGGGTACAGTGAGACCAATAGTGTCCACTTTATTTTTACATCACCTCAGCTCTTCATTGCCTTCAGTATCAATCTCTTCATTTGTTTATATCCATCAATCCTCTCCCATTCATTCTCCTTTTTCATGTCTCCATTAGGCAATTTTCCAAAGTTCACAATGAGGTCAGAAGAAAAAGCAACTAGCTTCAGGTGAATGCAGACAATCAATCGCTTTCCCAGCATGAGCGCTTTCTTAAGTGGTGCCATTATAGAGATGCTGGGGGAGGTAGATTCTCACACACAATACCTTAGGGTCTCTCCAGTAGAGCCTCTGCGTTTAAACAGGTTAACCAGACTGGAGGAGCGGCTGGCGGCTGAAGACGACTTTCCGTCTCCCACATGCATGCGGACCACAGTGCTGGTGGTGAAGGCACTGCGTACGTTACGCTCTGGTTTGGCCAGGATGATGTACACCTGAGGAGGGACAGAACATCGCATTTATCATCATCTGGTTCGGTTTAGTGCCATTTTTGGATTTAAAGCTGTATTTCAGACATGTTCATAAAAATACTTTTTTTTTATTAATCAATTAAAACATTGTATAAAAGTACAAACAATCTACTGTTAAATTATTTTTTCTCTATGTTTAAAGAAAGGCTAACTTTTCAGTTTCTTATATTCTGTAACTGTGACCAGTAACTCAGAAATTAAAGCAAATTATTACAGAACATTGAAACTCTAAACCTGTTGAGTAAGAAAAATGTCAGAATTGTTTGTGGACAAAAATGGAAGAAATGAACAATGATTTAAGGTAGATGATTACAGAGCTATTTATTTGAAATAAAAATGAATAAAACATACTGCTTTAAAGATCTCCCATACTTGTTGATACCCAGGTACCCAGATTTTCTTTTATTTTCAGTTAACTTTCATTTTGTATAAGCTTATCAGTGTTGAGGAACTTTTAATTAGTAAACCAAAACTTCTGGTTTCCCTGGGGATAAATATGCCCTGTCATAGATTCCAGATCTCTGTTGATCATCACACACCTTTAATTAAAAAATATTCCCTGCCTAAAACGAAAAAAATAAAAACTTAAGTCAGAGCAATCATTATTCATGTTCAATACAAGTTGACCTTAGACAAATGAGGCTGCATGATGACTCATAAACTGTGGGTCACTAGCCTCCATAAATATAAGGTAGTTAATTTTCCTTTGGGATTAATAAAGTATCTTTGTAATGAATTTCAGATAGAGCTGTTTATCTCCTATTATCACAAACAATTCTAGGAATTAAACTGGACTAGTGAGCTTTGCTTATACATAAACAGCCCTGTTGGCATAAAGAAAATTAATTTTAGAAAAGTGCCTCCGAACCACTGTTTGTATAATCAGCATCTGTGATGCTGTCGGCCTCTTTAGCCTGAAATTAGGGAGCATGCCTGGAATTTCAAGAGCAATTATGAACTTTTCAACAAATATCAAATAATCTCTGTCAGGAATCAGAAAGCGGTCATCACTCGGTCTTGTAATGAACTAATAACATGAAATGTGGCAAAAACAACAGAATAATAGTTTACCCATGACTCTGAACAACTTGGAGAGATTAAAATCGAAAAGTGGTTTTAAGATATCTCTTTTTATGCAATTTAAAGTTTTCATCCACATTTAGATTTGGCAACATTATTTGTAGATGGCACAATTCAATTACACAATAAATGTATTGATAAACTTACCTTGGGTACAAACATGCAGCACAGAGCAACTGTGGCACTGAGGCTAACACTGAAGCACATGGTGATAATCTTATAGTTGGAGCCAAAGTAGATGGGGACAAACGCCAACCAGATGATGCAGGTGGTATACATTGTAAAAGCTATGTACTTGGCCTCGTTGAAATTAGCCGGGACATTGCGAGTCTTGGGAAAAGAGAAGAAATAAAGAATTCAACCATTAGTACACAAAGTTGCAGCTCATTTCTCATTCTCTGTCTTCAAGAAGAGATGGTATCGTTTTAATTTTTATGAACAATAAATATAGAGCTGGAATTAACATTCATGCAAGTTGTTTATTGTTTGTAGGAAGCACAGGTTAAACATGGTGCTATAAACCTAAACCACCTAAGACACAGTAATATATTCAGCTGTTCTGTCTGTGCCTGTTTTCAGACCAACAATAATCAAAGTCTGAGTGATTTAACCTTTTCTGGTCACTTTTTTGTCTCTTAAGCAACATAATACTAAGAAACTTTAAATGAGAATTTAGCCTCTTTGGTAGCCATCTGCCAATTTGCTGCTGTTCTCGACCATCTGTAAACATTTAAACTTGATGGAAAGATGAGTGTAAATCTAACTACCAGTAAAAGAAAAAAAAATAAGAGTCTTCTACAGAAATGAATTGTAGGTCAAAGGAAAACTCTACAGTGTGAGATTCCTTAATCAGTTCTTAGCTTTACAGAAATGTTTTGCTAAACAAAAAGATAAAAGCAAAAGGAAGAAACATTAAGTTTGGCAAAGCATTCATGCTTAACCTGAAAATCATCACAATATCATGTGTCTAACTGTGATATTCTTTCAGATTCTAAACATTTTGTCATTTTTCTCCTGACAATTTTGTCCAAGAACTGAAAATCTTTTTTTTTTTTATACAGCTCATTGTTCTTTATTTTAATATACTGATTACATGAAAAACAGTGTTATGACAGTATTTAGTTTTTTTTTCAGAACTATGCTAAAAATTGTTGCATAAATATTCACACTGAGAGTAACTGGAATGTGCTAGATATCAGCTTGTACAGCAGTTTAAACACATGAGCACATTTACTGCAGATGCGTGCTGAAAAGAGAGAAGCCTATAAAGAATAAATTATAATCAAAGATACGTCCGTCTGTGGTTTATATAAAGTTATATATTAGAGTGTTTGATGCAATCAAACTTTCAAATAAACTTTCAATCATCAATTTGTTCTTTCCTTCAAGGGCGCCACATTTTATCACACTGCAAATGCAACACTGGCCAGTGTGACTTCAGCATCAGAATCAACCTTAATCGCTGAGTTTGTTCGCTCAAGAGCTTTGATTTTTTTAAGGTTAAAAAAGGTGATTGTTTGCCACATTTTTCCCGCTTTGTGTTTAAACCCATGACTGACTGATTACCCATCTTCCAGTGTTTGCATGTTTAGAACCTATGCAGAAGTCAAACTCATTTTTACCACACTTTGACAATCTAAATTCTGCAGTTCTCCTCCTTGCTGACATTTTGAGCCCTCATGATTGCCTATTTGTTAGTAGATACAGTAAAAAGAAATGAATTTATTCAATATTATACATGTCATGCTGAATGTTTCACTTATAATTACATATTTTCTTGCCTCAACATCCATTTCTTTTTTCTAACATTACTTCCTAATGGTTTGCATATAAATGAAGGTGTATATTTTGGGAAACTAATTAAGGTTTTAAAACAATTTATTGAGATATTAAAATTTAACTTAATCTTAATTGAAGTTAAGATTATGAACAGATTGTTTTGAATAAATAAGCTGTGTTTAGACTTAAAAGCAGACTAAAACGTGACAAAAGTAACACCAATAATCCTATTCACTGTGACTTTTATTATCAGATTTCAGGAGCTTCTGCTGTTGCTTGATTTCAAAGACGTATTTGGTATCAGTATTGTTTGCTTTGCAGTCTCTCTTATTTAATGTATTACATATACCATCTAAATTTGAGAAATTTTTGTGAGCTTCGACTGCTTAACATGAACAATGACACACTCAGCTTTGGTATTAAGTATTATATCAGATTTTTTTGTAAAATATGAGTAAGAAATTGCCCCTATATCACAGATGTTTTGTTGATAAAGAAACATTACTTCGGTAGAGACAGATATACCTTAAAGGCATAAAAGGTGCAGCTGAGGATCAGCAGACCATTGTATCCCAGGGGGGCTACGACTCCAAGGTTAGTGGTGTTGCAAATGAGGTTGACCTGGCGGATGCTGGGGTAGTCATGAATCACCTGGAGATAGTGAGAAGACAGATTTTTCAAACCAAACTGAACCAAATGTTGGGTTATAGCAAATTTAAGTTTTTAAGATCCTTAGGCATGTTTCTTTAATCATTTTGTGGTGCTCTTAGGTCACACGTGTTCAGCCTGAAAGCTTACATCTGGTGGCTCCATGAGAAAAAGAGCCACGATGATGCCCAACTGCAGCAGTATAAGGAGGAAGGCAATGATGAGCTGGGCACAGGCTGACATGAAGCGTGGTTTCTTTGTACAGATCTTCTTCTTGCTTCCTGCCAGAATCCGAGCGATGCGGTTTGTCTGCAGTAGCATAGCATAGCAAACATAATTGGGACATGCATCACTTACTCTACAGAGCAGCTTTGTGTGAACGGTGGCTTTGATCCAATTTCTCACCTTGGTGACTAGTGCAGAGTAACTCATGGCAGGCGACAGACCTATTCCCAGTCGTTGGAGGTAGCAGTGGATCACATGGGGTTTTGCAATGAGGGTGAAGGTACACAGATATCCCAGGCAAATCCCAGCTAGTATGATATAACACAGCTCCCGGCTGGAGGATTTCACAACCGGGGTGTCCCGGAAGCTTAAAGACACAAAGTTAGGCGAAAGTAAGATTCAACAGTGCGGACATGAAAAGCAAAGCCAACCAAAATAGAAAAAGGGGAAAAAATAATGAAGAGAAAAAGAAAGTTCTAGTATGGTTTTCTAGTTTAGTTTATTTTGGAGGTTAAAAGTTTCTTACTAGATAAAGACTCCAGTGACAAAGAAGGTGGCCATTAGACCGAGGCAGGCAAATACCAGAGCTGCTATGGGTTCTGGATCCCCCCATCGCAGGTACTCCACAGGGATTGGGTCACAGCCTGGAGAAGGATGTAAACACATAAAGATGCAATATTTGCATGGAAGTGAAACTAAACATTATTTAAATTTTTGTATGAAAAAATTTAAAAATATCTTTTCATTTTTTTTAAAAGAAAACTTTTTTTACATTTAGCTCCATTATATAAAGGTATTTGTTAATCTTTAACCTGTTTACATTCTGATTGTTACAATTGTGTTTTATTGTATTTTATCAGTTTTTTTAATAAATAACCAAAACAAAGCACTGCATAATAAATTATCAAAAAATATATATATATATGTAGTTGTTATTTGAATATTTTAACAAATAGAAATCTTAAAGGATAGGGTGCATTTGTGTCAGTTACTCTGATACCCCCGAATTAATCAATTGGAACCCATTCCCTTTAGGCGACACCTAACGAATAAAATTCAAGTGGGTTTCACTTGAATGTCAAAATAAATTCGGTTGTTCTGTTAACAGAGGTTTGTTAGAAAATATTAGGAAATAAAAAAAAAAGATAGATAAAGAAGACAGCAGACAGGTTAGACATAGAGATTCAATTCTGCCTTTTTTAGAGAAAAAGTTGAGAGGCCGATAGCATCTCTGGAGAATCTACTGACATCAGCTGCTTAGATGGAAGAATATCTGACATGACATTTATTAGGAAGACAATCCAGAAATCGATCCTTAAAATACAATAGGGAGGAGTAAAGAAACTCACAAGCAATTTTATTTACAGTTTGCCAAATAAATAGAGACAATGTTAAACTTTTTGACCTACATTTAAATCCTATAGTATAAGTGAAGGCATGGCCGCAGGCAGTGGGTGTGCTTGGGGTGCTGCAGAAACTCCTAGTGACAATTTATAACTTTCTTTTTAATATTTTGGAAAATGATTTTAACTTTTTTTATTTTACTATTAGGTGTATTTGGATTTTTATTGAATTACTTTGAGGCCAAATCAACACGTTTCACCGAAGTAATGTCGACAAGCTAATGGTCACCCAAGAGGTATTTAAGGAGACTAGTAAATTTACAGTTTAATGACAGAAACAAGAGGAAATATAGCAAAGAAACACATCTCGGATTCGTCCATTAATGAGAGACCCTGCTTGTAGCTCATCTATTCATGCAGTTCAACGTTATATAGTACTTTAATGTCATTTTGATCTTGTGTTCTTTGCGTAATGGATGTGGAGAACTGTTCAATAATGTTTAAATAGTATAAAAATATTTCCTTGTTGTTTGTGTAAAAGGATTTTGGAGCTAAGAGAGTCACGTGTTACATAAACACATTGACTAAGGGTAATGCCAGCTGACCAAATCTAGGTTGATAGTGTTATTGTGAAGTTGAATTAATAGTGTATATATTCACCTGAGAACTGATGATGTCTTTGTGTTATAGACCCTGGTTGCATGCACTGAAATGTACATGACAATAAAGTCTATTTAATTATTTATTTGTATTGTATTTTAAATAGGGCTCATAGGTTTTTTGTCCAGAAAAAACATCTTCACAGCACCCCCTGTTCAAAATTACTTCCTGCTTCCTGTGGCCCAATGTGAAGGAAAATTCCACTTCACACTCTCCCGCAATCATTAAACCGATGGTCAAAGATGATGGCAGGGCATTGATGGGAGCAAAAATGCTAGAGGCTGTAAAAGATTTGAGTGGCAGAGGTTTACCTTGCGGGACAACTAAAATCATAAACACTGCCAGCACTCAAAAAAGATCAAAACATAATGCTTGTGTAATAAGTGTGTTGGTGCTACACAATGGCAGCCCACTGCTCCCCAAGGGGATGGGTCAAAATGCAGAGAACGAATTTCCCCATTGTGGGACAATAAAGGGATTTACATACATTATATAATAATTACACAAACTCTAAAACCTAAATAATGAAAAAGGTAAAAAAAAAAAAAAAGGCCAATGATAGATGCTCTCCATTCAACCAGAATGAGCTTAAACTACTTTCTAAATATGGAAATATTGAGAGGCAAAAAGAAAAAAAACAAACCATTTAAATAGCTTTGCACAGCAAATCCCTTCACTTTCAACTTTAAAACAAACCTGTTTGATTTAAATTTGCTAATGTTGTCTGTAAGTTAACAGTCCTGACTGACCTGCAAGAAGAAAAGGCATAACAGCGATCTACAACTGTGTCATTAATATGAAGTACTTACAAATTAGATTTACTGCAGCTTTTGATAAACAACAGAACCAAATAAACCTTTAAAGGTCTACATTAGCTACCGTTTGAACTTCATAAATGTGTCTTAATAACAGCACCCTAATCCTCTACTAACTTCTAAAAATCTAATCAGGAATTCTCCGTCCTTCATAAATTATTCTACCCTTTAAATATCCTCAAATATCTCCCTTATCTCTCCACATTCTCTTCCATCCCACCTTGTCCTCTAATTTTTTTTCATTTTCTATCTCTGAATTCTAAATCTGAGATGAGATAAAGTTGCATTAATTAAACAGACAGCTCTAATTATATTCTGGTGGACTTTATCTTCTTGGACACATGCGGCCGAGGCAGAGGTGAACACCATTTTTTTCTCCTTTGACTTTCAGGTATTTCTGTTCTTTCAAATAGAAGCACTAAATTGTACACATAACAAATATATATATATATATAATGTTTGTTAAAATTTGTAATTTTTTTTTTTTTTTTTACTGGCTTCTCTGAAATAAAGTTATTCATTTATACATTCTTTCATTCATAGGAACCCTACAATTCATTCACCCGAGGAAATATTTCCTTTTTAAGATGTAATGTTTTTAATATGGTCAACAAAGTTTATATAATCAATTATGTAATTGACTAAATTAAACAATAGCCATTCTGCAAGCAAGTATGTGAAGAGGATAATAACAAACAAACAAACAAAAAATCAATTAAAAGCCTTCTGCAGTAGGGATGAGGAGATTCACTGATTCACATCAGTGCTCTTACATGCATACATTGAATGTGAGTTCACAGGTAGATTAAATGTGCGTTGGCTTGATTATGAGGGTTAATTTACAGCCACTTTAGCGAGGGCAGGATATTTAGCACTAAAGAAAAAAAGTAAAAAAAAAATACTAGTGTTCATCAAATAAGATTAATAAATCAAACTATGCCGCCTGACATTGAACCAAATTTTAAAAAATTTAATTTTAGATGCACTATTGGCTGTGGAAAAGCCTGACTTGGGATGCTAGTTTACAGACTTTAAGGTACAATATCTCACCTCTATGAGGAATATTAAAATACGTCAGCCAGCTGGATTATATGGTTAATCATAAGAAGGAAAATTTGTTGCATCTTCAATCCCAAAGCCTTGCAAAGCATGCACAATTAAAAAAGCTGAACGATAATACCCCAATAATTAATTAAAGAGTTATATCAATGTCCGTTTAATTAATGCATTCAAATTTTTTGGTAAGATTCCCTTAATATTCAGTAAAAAAGTCGAAAGTCCACTCCAGGTCCAAGAAGAAATATCTATTTGCTTTCCTAGCTGATGGTCTGTCCCTGTTGTTTGCTCTAATCGGACACAGGATAGGTTCTCAATGACAGAACTTGATTCAGAATCCAAAACCTAATACTTTTCATTTTTATCTATACCGAGTGACATTTGTCTCTTCTGTTCCTCATGCTTTTCCTTATCAAAGTTATTTCAGTCCATTGTTGCAGATGATTCTTTTAGTGGATAAACTGATGTGATTTTATACCTCCTTGTATTTACATTGCACACATTAAAACTCATAGTGTGCATTCATGTGTAGTGTTAAACACAGCCAATGTTTTAACTCTGTATTTGTTAAGTTTATCATTTATTAGCAGTATCCACAGTTAGTGCTATTATTTCTCTATTCATATGCGATATTCTGGCTTTTTTTTTTTTTGCAAATGCTTTTCTTCTGTAGATCATAACAAATTGTGGATATAGATTGCCTTGCATTCATTTTCTCTGATGTTAAAGTGGTACATCACCAGCAGCAGCTGCATTCCTATAGGCATGAACAGTGACCAAAGCTTCAAATTCAAATTCAAATTCAAATTAATACAGTTGAAATATGCTTTTTATGAGTATTACTTTTCTCTATTGAAACCTCAATGGGTTAAGCTATTAAACTCTTAAACCCCAACTAACTATATCAAATTATCACATAAATCAAATCTTCTTATAGAATCATGTCGTTATGAAATATTTTTTTTAATTACACTGAATTGTGAACAGGGGTTATTTGTATAGCATTGTATCAAGGAGGGTTTAGTGCATTGCAGTTATATCGTATCAGTAGTAGTATATCGAGATGTGTATCAAATGGACCTTAGTGGTGGAGACCAGACATGGGCAATGTGGAGTCAACAAGTCATCTCCATGTCATGTATTTGTTCTACCCAGCCACTGAAGCAGGTGAGTCCAATCTTCACCGTGAATTAACGTGTGCAGATTGGACTCACCTGGTTAATTGGCTGGGTAGATTAAATACATGACAGGGAGATGACTTGTTGACTCCACATTGCCAATGTGTGGTGGAGACATACATCCCTATTCTGCAAGTTTTAAAATAATCACTCGTACCAATTTTATAATAGGCTATGACAACAACATTAAAAGACACAGAAAAGCTCATATCAACAGTATTAAAATTATTTTGGAACAAGATATTGACAAATATAACAGCGACAGTTCTGCCTAGAGATAAGTAACAGGAACAACCCACACAAAAATATAGGTTGCTGGAAACCAAGAGATTTTCAAGGAGCTGACGTCCTATTAGCTTTGCCCACACAGCTCCGAACACAAGGCAGAGATTTCTAGAGCATCTCTTTTTTCCCTTGGGCTTTCCTTTATAACCAAAAATTGGCTACGTTGACAATTACAATCTCATTTTGTTTCTTAATTTCCAGGAAATTGTGAACTGCAATATGTGACCGTCAGCTAAACTGGTATATGATGGGTATAGGGACCATTCAAAGGGTTTTTCAATCTAAAGTTCTGACACAACCTCCCTGAAAGAGACTAAAAAAGTTTAGCCATGATTGGAAAGGCTTACATTCCACAGCTAATCCCCCCGTTTCTTGTCCCTGTACTCCTCCAAAAGCATCTTATGTCACAACTTCAATTCAATTTACTTTACCCTCAATCAGTCTCTCTAACTTATCATTTTCCTCTATCTTCTTTTTTTGCTGTAAAGTTGTATCTAAAATGTTGTCCACTCCTTTGTGGTTTAAGATGTGTCTGACCTCTCTGCCTGCTGGTTCATCCTCGCTCTACTCTGTCTCTTCACTTGACTTTTTTTGATTTCTGAGTCTGTTAGATTTATTTTCTGTTGGGCTGAGATTGAAAGATCAAGTTGTATGGAGCTGAAATGGGAAAACTGTGTCTGTTTGATTCAACTGCTCTTATTCACAGACATAGGAAGAAGATAAATTCTACAGTAGAAACGTCAAGCCATTTATTGTTGCCATCCAAGGATGTGGAGGCTATTCTTTGTAAAAGGATGTTGTTTACAAGCATAGTGATCTAGTGCATGTACACTCACTGGCCACTTTATTAGGTACACCTGTCCAACTGCTCGTTAACACTTAATTTCTAAGCAGCCAATCACATGGCGGCAACTCAGTGCATTTAGGCATGTAGACATGGTCAAGACAATCTCCTGCAGTTCAAACCGAGCATCAGTATGGGGAAGAAAGGTGATTTGAGTGACTTTGAACGTGGCATGATTGTTGGTGCCAGAAGGGCTGGTCTGAGTATTTCAGAAACTGCTGATCTACTGGGATTTTCACGCACAACCATCTCTAGGGTTTACAGAGAATGGTCTGAAAAAGAAAAAACATCCAGTGAGCGGCAGTTCTGTGGGCGGAAATGCCTTGTTGATGCCAGAGGTCAGAGGAGAATGGCCAGACTGGTTCGAGCTGATAGAAGGGCAACAGTGACTCAAATAACCACCCGTTACAACCAAGGTGGGCAGAAGAGCATCTCTGAACGCACAGTACTTCGAACTTTGAGGCAGATGGGCTACAGCAGCAGAAGACCACACCAGGTGCCACTCCTTTCAGCTAAGAACAGGAAACTGAGGCTACAATTTGCACAAGCTCATCGAAATTGGACAATAGAAGATTGGAAAAACGTTGCCTGGTCTGATGAGTCTCGATTTCTGCTGCGACATTCGGATGGTAGGGTCAGAATTTGGCGTCTACAACATGAAAGCATGGATCCATCCTGCCTTGTATCAACGGTTCAGGCTGCTGGTGGTGGTGTCATGGTGTTGGGAATATTTTCTTGGCACTCTTTGGGCCCCTTGGTACCAATTGAGCATCGTTGCAACGCCACAGCCTACCTGAGTATTGTTGCTGACCATGTCCATCCCTTTATGACCACAATGTACCCAACTTCTGATGGCTACTTTCAGCAGGATAATGCGCCATGTCATAAAGCTGGAATCATCTCAGACTGGTTTCTTGAACATGACAATGAGTTCACTGTACTCAAATGGCCTCCACAGTCACCAGATCTCAATCCAATAGAGCATCTTTGGGATGTGGTGGAACGGGAGATTCGCATCATGGATGTGCAGCCAACAAATCTGCGGCAACTGTGTGATGCCATCATGTCAATATGGACCAAACTCCCTGAGGAATGCTTCCAGCACCTTGTTGAATCTATGCCACGAAGAATTGAGGCAGTTCTGAAGGCAAAAGGGGGTCCAACCCGTTACTAGCATTGGGTACCTAATAAAGTGGCCGGTGAGTGTATGTGTGTTGACACAATGCCACAAAGGCAAGTAATTAACAATATACTTTGAAAAACAATTTCTGTCCAGTAATCTGAGAGGAGCAACAGGAACGGCTTCAAAATATGTAAAATAAATGATTAATGTTGAGAAATGATACATTAAAGTTAGTTTACAATCTTTCCTTCAATGAAAGTCCAAGCAAACACACTCTGAAAGGGATCTACATCTAGTTGTGACAATATACTTTATTTAGTGAAATATCTATTTTCCACGAAAACACAATACAAATACTGCAAGTTGTTTGTTTGCAAAAACAAAGAGCTTCTATTCAGATCCTATTGGTTTTAGCTCCCATGTTGAACTTAATATGTAAAGACAGGATAGTAAGTAAAGACTGAAAAAGAGTAGCTTGATTTGAAGGGCTTCAAGGGGAAAGTCTTTCTTAAACAACAAGTTTAAAGCAGTACTTAAGTAAACAATATTATATCCAATAAAGAAAAATGGCAATGAGTAGGAAGAGGAGCGAGGATATACAGCCCCCAGGGCGAAGAGAAAGTTTATTGAAAAATGGTGCTTTCGGGGAGAGCGTATTTCGCAAGAGGCTGGCTTATTTACGACGATGATGAAGCTAATGAGCTGCTTATTATGCAGAAAATATGCAAAAGCGATCAAACACAATTAATTTGTCGCTGGCTGTCAATCTATGAAACTGGAGAGCACCTGTGAGCACAAGCGCAGTAAACGTCACATTCCCTGGATGTCCATGTCTCAGGCTCAATCAAAACAACCCATGCCACGACCACTATGAGTGCGCTGATGGCTACACAACCACAAACATGCAATGATTAAAATATTGTTTTGCAAGACCCATGCCAGTGGAAGAGAGGCTATGCTTCTATTAACCATTTAAATATTTTTTTAAATGGTTTTACAGCCACTTTATCAAATAAAAGTATTTTTCAGTTGAAGTTTTTTGAATGAAATTTAATGACATGCTACAGGTATAATACAACTTTATCTAATATAACTACATTACCTTTTACTGTAGCTTTGTTTACATTTAACATAATGCCATAGCAAAATAATATGTGAGAGCAAATTCATTTTTTTTCTGGGCGGTAAAAACATGCTTGGTCCACTTGAACTGTGAGTTTAAAAGTTGATTTCAGACCCTGTTCCCATACCCCAAGATAAAAGAATCAGAGTCACAGCAGCTGCATGATGAGGAATAATCTAATAGAGGGCATTGCTTAAAAAAAGAAACTTGCTGTTAGGAACGGGAATCGAAAAACCGGTTCCTGTTCAGAACCAGTTCTGTGTGTTCCAATTCTATGGCACTGTTTGGCAGCTCACTTAACGATTCTCTTATCGATTCCAGGCAGCACCAGAGCCTAGGGCTCTGGGCAACACGACTTATGTCACGTTTTCTTACGCAAGTTACGCACACGGCATTTAGTAAGCAAGTATGATGTGACCAGGTGTAAGTTTAGAAAAGCAAAACAAAAAAAATGTCGTAAAGCGATCAAAAGTTTGGCTTCATTTTAAAGAAGAGAAAGCTGGCAACAAGCCGCTTTGCAATCATGCAAAGTGGCAATTACATCCGTGGGAGGAAATACATCCAGCATGCAGAAACACCTGTGCACACAAAACGGCATACATTTGAACGAATGCCGTGTTTTGGATGCTTCCAGACAGAAGCTAAAGTTACGATCAGCATGGAAGGCAACTCTGGTGGTAAGAAGCTAGTTTTATATCAATGGCTATGCTTAATGTGGTTCCTAGTAAATCATATGCCATTTCATGCTACATGCTACGAAGTTGCTCCGCAATTCAGGGAGCGAGAGAAAGGTGATACTCGATTATTTAAATCTGGGAGAGATTAGTTTATTTCTCAAAATTGTACAGTAATGCTTTTTCATTAAACAAATCGATAAGAGAATTGATAAGGAATCGAATCGTTTCATAGAATCGATAAGGGAATCGGTTCTTCATATCTTGGATACCAAGAGCAACTCTGAGTACAAAAGTAATCTGAAAAAAGTTTTTGACCACTGATCACAAAATTTATATGATGAGGAATGTACTACCAATAGATGTGGATAACAATATATAACCTGGTCAGAACCTTATTTCCTTTCTCTTCTGCTGGACTGACTCTGTCAGCATTCCCACACTTGCTCATGGTTTGTTTTAACTTGCTTCCTTCAGTGTCAGTGATGCCTCACGTGAATTTTTAGTAGGGCTTGATTCATGTTTTAATCATTGAGTTCTGTGAGGAACATTATAATGAGCAGCTGACAGTGCTAGACAATATCCCAGTGCTTCCTATGCAATAATGGTGGAGTAAAAATCCACTGACACTGTAGTGTTTTTTGAATAAAAATGAAAAACCTCTCAATTTAAAGAATAATTAAAACACTCATCACACTGTCAGTGACAAATAAGTAGTACAGAGAGGCAGAAACAAGTTAAAAAAGAGGAGTCGTCTCTAAAGTGTAGTTGGTGCAGGACTTTCTAATTGCTGAAACAACACACTAGAGAAGAGAACTCTCATCTGAGTGTAATTAAAATTAAAATTGCTTCATCTTTCCTAAAATCCCACATGCATACATCCATGTTTAATAAAGAGGGTTTTGTTTTTTTTATCACAGCATCTTTTTATGTTCAGCATTGCAGGTTATAGTTCTGCATAAACATGCAGAGCACAAAAACATTGAGATACTAACCTGTGAGGCCATCATTAGGCCAGGAGCCCAGCTCACACGCTCGGCAGGTGTATTCATCAAACACAAATTCGTTCTCTTTGCACGGGGTGCACGTCCAGCAGCAGCTCACCTCACCCTTACGGATCACCTGAAAGAGATTTTTTGTGTTTTTATCCCCCATTTCAATAGATGGATCGATTTCACAGGAAGGTTGTTTTGTATTTGCTGACATGTCAACTCCTATGAGACCAGCTCAGGTATATTTATGTGAAACTGCAGGTAGAGTGAAATCAAGCAGAAAGTGTGATTTTTTTGAAAGTTTTATAAATAAGACCGCAGAACCATCTACTAAATGCAAACACCGATTACAAACAAAAGCGATTTAAAATCTGGGCATGGAAATAATGATAAAGTATTTTATCATAGAAATAAAAAATTAACTTATGCTATTATTTAGCCCATGAGATAGTTTGAAAATTATTTTTATGAGACAACATATAAAATTTTGTGTTAAATACTAAACATTAGTTATGCTTGCATTTTAAAATTATCACAGGCAGCAACCTGCTCCAAATCAAATATTACCTTAATCTGCCCTTTGTCACAGGGTTCGCTGCAGACCGATTTAATGATGGCATCTTTGCTGGACCAGATTTCATCATCATCCATCTTTAACCCACTGTTGTCCCAACTTCCAACATTGATGTAGTCATAGTACTCCTTCCCAATTTTCTTGAAATTCATTATTTCATACCTGTTAATAAAAATGCAATCGTTCAATGACCATATGACACTAAGTTCCCTGTGAAAGATCAAACAAGCAGGTCAATCAAACAGATTGAAAGCTGGATATGATCCCCCAGTAGCTTTGTCTACCTGCCAGGTGAGTCTCCATTTTCATCGAATAAAATTCCCTCTCCTGACACACCAGTGAAGTTGGTTTTCATCAGGAAGTCCAGCAGAGTAGCACCATCTATGGGTCGCATTGCATCACAAAGGCCCTGAAAATATAGTACATTGGCCACACAGATCGTTAGTTATGCAAATGTAATCCATATATTTCATGGAATTATGTAGTAAATAACATTTACAGAAAACAATTAGGTTACATTGTAAACAGATGAAAACATCTTAATAACAACATTTTACCTTATACTATTATAATTAAGAAGCTCAATATATTTTGAAAATGACAAAATACAATATTAAACTGGCTCAAGTACTAGAGCACTTTAATATTCAATTTTCAATAAATGTATTTATTTCATCAGGAGAGGGTTCTTTAAGTTTGTAAGTTTGAACACAATCCATAGACTTTAAAACCTGAGGCCCATTTCACAAGGCGGGTTTAATGAAAATTTTGTGTTTATTAACCATTTAATCTAGGAAACTTCGAGTTTTGTGTTTCAAAAAGAGTGTACTCACAACAGTAAGGAGAGCACCTTTGATAAATGTCAAAACAGAATACATATAACTCTAGCAGCAACCATCTCCCTCTCCTTTGCAGCTATAGCACCATTGCTCTTTCTTTTAAACACATTCTCCAATATATTTTTGTGATTTAACTTTAAAATCTTTAGTTCTAGTGGAGTGAAATAGTTCAAGCCCCACGCCCACAGAGTGGGGCTTGAACTCAAAATTAAAGCTTCTACTCTGGGTGTCTGAGCAAGACCCTTAACCCCACACTGCGCCCTGGGCGCTGCACAATGGCACAGTGACAAATGATTTAGTGAGCAGCCACTTGTGAAAAATACACCTTTATCTTTCTACCTCTTACAAAGGGGTGTTAATAGGCTTAGAAACATGCGTCTTTATCAACCTTGAAATACTATTGCCTTTTTGGCCAATGTTTAAATGTGTAGGAACTTCAAATAATTAACATTCCAGTATTGCTTTTTTCTTTTTCTTTTTTCTTAATAAGTTTTCTTAATAAGTTTATTAATAATTAATAATAATTTAGTAAATAAAAGTTTTTTAATAATATTGATATCAATACTTTGTTTTAAAAAAAAACAAAGTGTTAGGTCTTGGTTCAATAGGCTATGTTTATTTCAATGTGTTTTAATAAACATTTGACCAGTCCGGCCCTCGGCTTGCAGCAAATTTGGTTTTTTTTGGCCCTCGGTATCTGACTTTGACATCCCTGACTTAGAGTATTTATACAAGCATTACTCAAATGTTACCTACTAACATTGTTTAATAAAATGATGTCACACAATGCAGATGCTCGGTCTTCCCTATCGAAGATTCGCTCACTTTGATTAACCAAATGCTGGAAGCATCTAAAAATGCTGATTAACATGAATTTAGATTAAACTTTTTGAGGGCTCTTTTTAAACCAGTAATTAAAACCATCGCACTCTATGCCCAGATGGTCCACGAACTTCAAAAATAGAAAAAAATAAGCTAGCGACAGCATATAAAAAGGTATTTGCTCTATTCTCACAAAGCAGTACAGAGAACATTTTATTCCTTTCACTCCGATAAACATAGGCTACAACACAAAACAGACACATCAGAGGATATGCACATACATTATAGATGTGACAGGACTTCAAATAGTTTAATCACATTTTCAGACATGGTAACGCATAAAGCAACAGTTTTACTAGCCATAGAAAGATGAGCAAGGACAGTTTTAAAACACATTTTTTTAGCAGGTTGTAGAGTAGAAAGAGCCAGAGTAAATTTGATTATCTAATCTGAATCCACAAATTTAGTTTCACTTAGGCAAAAAGGAGGCCCCTGCAGACAGAAAGTGAAGAGCTCTGACTACCCAAATCAGTGGAAAAGAAAACTGAGGCACGTTTAGAAGGTGATTATCACTTCCAAACTTATTCTAAGAAAGGGGAAGATGGACTACACTCTTGGTCTCACAACTTTTTATAGTGATTATGGAAAAAGTCTACTCAATCTTTAAGCAACTGGTGATATTTTATGTCAGTAAGTTAGAACACTGATTTTTTTTTTTTTAGCCCTGTGAATAAAGAATTCATCCATCTTCTTCCACTTATCCGTCAGCGTCACAGTGGGGCCGTTGCCTTTCTCCAGCAGTCTATGGGTGAAAAGCATGGTACACCCTGGACAGATTGCCAGTCTTTCACTGGGCAACACAAATCCACACTGAAACACACCAACATGCACACAAACTCACACCAAAGGACAATTTAGAGACGCCAAGGAAGCCAGAGTAACCAGAGAAAAGCCAGAAATGCACGGGGAGAATAAAACCATAAATAAAATCCAAACTCAAAATGGTTATTGGGTTTACTTTGGCAGCACTTCAGTTTTAACAGAAAATCTTCCCTGTGTGGGTTTATATTTTGACCCTCAACGCATGAAGAATGACAAATAGTCAAACGTGGGCCTCATAGGAATAAGGTTTGCTGAAACACAGCAGCTGTCTCCAGAAAGTTTTTTGCTTTGTCTGTTCAAGTCTGTTCAGGAATTTCCTTTGTGCATCAGGGCATTGTAGACAAACGGAGAAGGTACTGCTAGACTCTGTGCAAGAAGTAAATGCAGTCACACAGCCAAATTGGAATTTGAGAAATAGCTTAAACAATGAAACACAATTATCTACCCACTCAGCTTTTGCTTCACTTTGTCCCCTGTGTATTTACTTGTTTTCTACTGCACCTACCTGATAGCCTGGGCAAAGGGAACGCTGCATGTTGTGCAGGCCGAATGCCATAGAGTAAATAGCATTAATCACGAATCCCATCTTGGTGTCCTGTGCATAATGCTGCTGTAGGGAATCTCGTTCTGTAAAGATTGATAGATAGATAAATAAATAGAAAGTCAAAGCGGAAGAGAACTGGGAATCATATTTGGTTAGTATGGGCAGGGAAAAAAACAGTTAGTACATGAGAAAACGGTTTTTTCCCGTAACATCAAAGGGCTCTCTCTCCCTCTTCAGTCGCTTCCCACCTCCACATTGCATCTCTTTCTGTGCCTGCCTTTGCCCTGTTCTTTTGTATTTCCTGTCCCATTTCATTAGAATAAATGAGAATTGACTCTCTTTGATGCAGCTCTTGCATACTGTTTAGCCTATGAATGGAGTGAATGAAACAGAGAGAGAATGGAAAAGCATTGAATAAAAATATGAAAATTTGAACGAGGGTTCATTCTTAAGAGGGACCTGAAAGCTGTATGCATCCATATGGCCTGTCTGTGTGTGTGAGTGTGGGTGTGTGTGTGTTGGTTTGTAGGATATTTGCATTATCAGTGAACAAATGCAGAGATAGTAGTGATGTTAAACACAGTTCAGTAAAAATTTGTAAAGATTGCTATAGCTTTTGTTTCATGGATATGAATAATTGTTCCAGATTGGAAGCTAATTTGAATACCAGACAAAAATAACCTAAGTAGATTAAAAGGGTCGTTTCTAATCTCTGTTACATCTATTTATGGACAAAAAATATCCAAGCCCACCACAGTAATTGTCCCTTTTCCCTCCTCTGAAAGTAGCTATACGTTCCTTTAGTTAATTGTTTTCCTCTTGGCACATCCAGGCCTAAATACTACAATCTAAAGAAATCAAAACATCACTTAAATAGAACAAAACAAATATCTACTCAAGTAACACATCATACCCCAATCTAGGAAGAAATTGCTGGACACACCCATGGTTTAAGTACAGTTCTAAAATGTTCAACATACTTGAAAAAGCTGAAAACAGTCCCACATCATTATCTTACCACCACTAAGCTTAGTGGTTTGAAAGCCTTTACATGACACTGTTAACTTTTAAGCGGATCTTTATTGGTTTGCCTTCTCTCTCTCTTTATGTTGATATCAATTATGTCGCACCTTGGACTTTGTTTTTGTGATTTCTAGCTCATGTCAGGCATTAGTGTTGTTATATTTTCTAACTTTTTGAGACTTGGGAAAAATTGGATGTTAAACAGAACAATAATTCAAAACAAACAGAAATACTGTCTTGCGGACAAAGAAACTAGCCTAACTGAAAACATTCAGAAAGCCCAATAATATTGAACTTTTGTAAGCTACGGTATAAAAAAGCTACATCCTTGTCAGGAAATTCATATAACACCACAGAACAATTCCTACTTCAGCAACGGAATGCTATTTTGAGATCTATAAAGGCTGTTTGTTTATTTATTCACCCAGTATAATACCCATGCAATTCACAAACTGATTATTTCAAAAAATTTACTTTTTCCATTTATATTTTGCAATATCAGTCACAAGACTAAAAGAAAACCAGATCTCCAGTTGCCTATAGTGCCAGGTACTGTAAGCATAATCTACCAAATGACAGCAGATTCATAGCAGTATATTTTGCTATTCTATAGTTGTGTCTGCACTTACTGCCACAGGTGCGGTTGTACTTGTTGCTCTCCTGTGGGTGACCTTTTAGTCTGCAGTGAAACCGGTGCTGCCAGAACTCTGGAAACCAGGGGTTCCTGTGGTTGTTTTCAGGACGGAGCTTCAGGTAGTAATCATCGAACCATTTCACGTCCGCTGACTGCAGCTTGATGGTAATACCGCCTGCTGCTTCCTTGACATAGCCATCTGTCACATCATACCTGTCCGCCCATCCATCGCTGCAAAGGAATTATAGGAAAGAAAGAGGGTAGAAGAATTTAGCAAGTCTAACCATGAACATAGGTAAAAACAATAATAATTTTAAGATGAAACCATATAGTGCCCTTAAAGGTGTCAAAGCAGTTGTCAACCTCCTTCAATATACTTTAGTGGAACTTTATAGTATAGATCAACATAAAATTACATAGACTTGGGAGAGGAGAATAAACTGATTTTTTTTTTCTTTTTTACTTTTATCCCTGATAAATTCTATTGCAGGGAATTGTCTTTGGAAGTCATCTAATGATTAAATAGAGCTTAAAGTAACTCAGAGAGTCAATTTAGCTAAGATGGAAATGTTATTGCACCATTGTAGACAAATTTACGGATACCATTATCTAATTTCCAAATTTGGCCTTTAAAGAAGAATTGCAAAAACACTGCTATTATTGAAAAAAGCCAATGAGAGACCCCTGTTTGAAGTTTGCAATGAGGCATGCACGGGGCTGAGCAAACGTATGAAAGACAACTCTCTTGTTAAGTTAGACTGAAACACCAAACTTTGTCTTAAATGCAATTTGCATTGTGCCGCAAAAAAAACAAACTTACATTGCATTTGTACTGTGTTGTACAACTCATTCATAGAGGGAAAAGGCCAGCATAGGTCTGAGGAAATGTTTTATTAAGGTGGGACGGAAAAACTCGACAGAGTTGATTTAAAGATGGGGAAAATGCAGTTTAATGATATAAAACACTCAAGACTGTTGTATAGGTTTACAAAACATGTGTTTTATAACAGGGAAATGGCAGACCTATTACAAACAGAGCTGCAAATAAAGTTGTGTACACAAAGGGGAAGTAAACCATCTGATTTATAAAATGGCTGTCAAACCAACAATGGAGAAAATGCCTTATATAATGAAATAGAAAAGATTGTCTAAATGCATGCAGCAGGTCATGGTCCCAAACAGATCATATTTTACACACAAATGCACACATATTTCTTTTGCAGCAGAGGAAAGCAAGGAGCAGAAAAATAGAAATGGCTAATATGGGAAACATACCCGGTAGTCTAAAAGGAAGCATAAACAGAGCCAGGACTAGACAGTCAGACGACATGTAGGAGTAAACTCTTACATCATCATGGGCCATATCCAAAATTCAATGGATCACTTAGAAACGGGTTATAGTCACTAGGAATAGACACACCCACACATGAAACAGCAGACTTCTAAAAGGATCTAGGACAAATAGAGTTTGTCCAGCGTAGCTCAGCTAACAGCAGCTACATACGTGTAACTACTTCACATCCATCCCCACAGACACCATGGTTTGCATCTTTAGAAAGCTTTGCTGGTCTTTTAGAAAAACAGATATGAGAATGAGTGCATGAAAGAAAGAGATAAAAGGAGGGAAGTGGAATGAATGACAAATAACTACACCTTCCACAATTCTTGCAAGCTTGCCATCAGAAAAACAATGATCATCAGTTCCAATATACAATTTTGGTTCATTCAATATTTTTGTTTATTTCAGCCTTCTGTGAACTATGTTTTCCTTTTTCTCTCTCAGAGTCAGAGCCCTTAAAACACATTTTCTCCAACAGCAATCCCTGCACCCTCAGTTAGATTAGAGCTCTGGTGCTTGCATGAACTGTTGCCACTTCCTGCCACCAAGTAGATCTCTTTCTTTTGTCCCCTTCTTTTCCTCACTGTTGCTGCTGACAGCCTCTGTCACTGAGCTGTGGTCAGCCATCATAGTGAAATTATTTTTAGACTCCAGTCAATACACCCACTTACATCGATCTAATGAGATTAAATTAATAACCTATTATCTTTATGGTGCAAAAGGTCTATGAACTTAATGAGACAGGTTGTAATCCTTACACTGAAACTTATTTGGCTCTCTCTTCAAAAATCTGTTATTTTAAGGCAACCTTCTCTGAGCCAAGTGTTTTACCTACTTTCATCCATCATGCAGAATACAAGTAATTTTTTTTTTTTATTGTTATATGTGTGGTGAATTTTGTTAAATCAGTAGGTAGACCTGACTTTTAATCATAGTCAATATTTTTCCGATAAATACAACAAATAGCTCTGACCAGTAATGTAGAGGTAATAGACGAGAACTATAGATAGTGTCATGTTTCTATGGCAATATTTCTTCTGTATTTTTTTTTTTTACTTGAACCTTGTTAGCCTTATGCAGATAATTAGAGCAATGCAAAAATAGAAGACTAGGATAGTAGGAGCAAAGTGTAAATACAGCAAATGTAGTAGGTGAGTGTTGTTTCCCTGGAACCAGGGGTAGGGATGAAGTGCTTCCCTAGGCTCTACTAGTGCTTTTCTACCAAAAAAACATCTCAGCACATCCACTTTATTAGCAATGATTATCCTACCTAATCTGCTCCCCGATGCACGGGTGTCAATTTCAACAATTGTGACTAAATACTAACCACCTGAGGCCATTCTCCACTCCCAAAGTGGTTCAGACAGCAAAGGCTTTACAAATTAATTTCAGTTCTCCTTTTTGTTTTTTATGTTGATTAAAATCAGATTTATTAGGCAGTTAGTTTAACACCAGTAATATCTTAAAATGGCAACAAAACAGCGCAAATAAGATGTTGATTTGCCAAAATAAAACAGAGGCAAGCTGTTGTGGGAAATTACTCCTATGCCAAGCTGATGTTTTAGGCATTTTATTCCTGCCAGTTAATCTCAATTCAAATACTTTTATATTCAGTTACATAAAACACTTCACATTTCAACTGAACAATTATCAGTCATTAATTTTGTCATTGTTAATAACCTTAATAGTGTATTTTTTTACCTTATCCTTTTATCATGACTTTTATTAAACTATTGGTGTGACAAAGATTTGCATATATAAAAACACCTACAAACTTGATAGTGCATACAAAATTAATGTAGTGACCACTATAGGCAACTTGGATATGGTGTCACCAAAATAAGTAGGCTGTCATGAATAAGCAGAATGTATGTTAATCATCAGAACATGCAAAATACTTGGAGGGGTATACAAAACGTAATTACCACCTGAAATGCAATTTATCAAACCTGAAACATACTGTATTGCAGTCTTAGCATCTGTATTTAGCACATTTAAAAGCCGGGTGCAAAATTATATGCAAAAATATCTGTGGTAACTGTGGGGAGAAGAAGACAAATTGACAAAAACAGGCCAGGTTGAAAAGATAATGCCTTAACATGACTTGGAGTGTGAGAAATAAAAGTAGTAGAAACGGATCGTCAATCAAACATTGGTATTTTCTGAGAAAACCCATCCTACATACTCTTGCATCTGGATCATTCCAGCATTTATTTCCAGTTAGTAACGTCTACCAGTGCAGTTTTCTGATTTGCTGTCTAAAAATCTAAAACAATTTAATTTTACTTCCTTCATCTTAAGCATACAGTATGTGCATGCATACAGTATATTCTAAGAAGTAAAGTTGTCCCTTAATATTCAACTTTTCTGATCCAGTTGTACTTTTTACCAACGTCTGTGGCTTTTACCATTCTCTTACACTCAAGGAAACAAAGATAAGCTATATAGATAAATACAAGTAAACAGAATTGAGCAAATATGATTAATTAGATATCTGTCAATTTGAAAGTCGCTCAAGGTCAAATTAAAAGCTGTACATGTAAGCCTACATTACCTGGTTTAAGAGTTGTGAGACCACACAGAAAATCTATTATTTGCCTTTGAAAGTAAGATATTTTTAGTTAAATCTCATTTTAGAATCTACAGCAGCCCAATAACTCTCCACAAGGACAGAAAGCACCAAAAATACAACTTGATTTTGATCAGTGAAACTAACCATTTTACATTTCTAGAACACAGCTAACAGAATGTTGTGTGAAACATGTATGTGACATATTATGCCAACAACACACATGCACATGGATTTTTAAAGAGTGGAGATTAACTCTAGATGTGCAGATGTGTGGGAGAGGATGCATAAAGAGAAGGGTTTCAAAGGATGCCTTCAGGGTGCCCTCATAGAGTTACTGTTTATAAAGATAAACTGAGTGTGTACCGGCATCTGCCAATGAAAAGAGGCAGCAGTTGTTTACCCCCTTTTGTAGTACAGTAGACAGATCAATCACTTTTCTATTCTGGATCATAATAAGTGTCATAAATAACATTCTGCATTTCTCTCTTTCAGTCTCCCTCCACATGTCTGGAAGCCCAAGGCCGTTGTCATGGTTTTTCAGCCCACGCTCAACCTGCTGTCTGTACTTTGTGTCTCATTAGAGGCACACTGGATCAGAAAGCGTATGCACATACATACACCCCCACACATACTTTCTCTCTCTTTACCCCCTGTCACACCCATTGTCACACTTACTTTTCTAATCACTATTCAATTAACATCTGATGCCCTGCACCAAAATCACAAACGCTATTTAAGTAACCCTATAATATTTCAGTGTTGTAGGCCACCAAAATACCCAAAGCATAACTTTAGTAAATCAATTCTACAAAGCGGGGCCTGAGGCACCTGCCTTTTCTTTCTGTTCATTCGGGGTATAAATAGAAACTAGAACTCATTTGCAAATGGTTATTAATTTTTAGCTGGGTCTTTCTTGGTTATAAAATCCATCACAGGGCTGAGGTTTTTGACTGTTCAGATAAAAGAAAAAGGCTTAACAAGGCTTTAGTTTCTTACTGTTTACTTTAATAATACTTCATATTTCCTAAGAAGAGTCACTTTGGATGGAAGTGTATGTCAAGCAAATTTTAACGCATGTGTAATTGTATTATGTAGATTTAATTGAGCTAAATTAAATGTAAACGCCTGAGAGGAACTGAACATTTCTTTGCCTTTAAATAGGAACACATGCATCAACTGTTTATTAGGTAAAAATTTTGCAGAAATCAAAAAATATCGTAGAATCAAATATTTTTGAATTGCATTATAAAAAAAAAACACAGAGTAAAGCATCTGAACATAACATGAGAGTAATTAGCATAATTATTGCTGGAATATTTGGACT